TATAAACATAGTGTATGTGTATGTAAGTATATATGTATACAGTGTCTCTTTCACTCACCTGGGCAATAAGCTGCCTGTCGGGCACAGTCATTGCCAGTGGTCTGAAGAGTGCCTTGAGATTGTCTGGCAGGTTAGAGCGTCCTGCATAGCCAGGATTCATGGTCACAAAGATGGCCATGTCAGGGTTGATTTTGATTGGCTTGCCCATGAGGGTCGTCTCCATACTCCTGCGCAATAAGTCGGGTGTGTGTGTTTCAAGAAATGAGCGACGGCTCAGCAACCACAGACCCACATAGTAGAATAATCTAAATACTTGTGTTATTCATACTGATGTATACTTATATATATCTAAATACTTGTGCTAAGTAATAATGAGGAGCGTAAACAGATATATATATTTATGTACTTATGTTGATAATAGTGAGCAGACTGTATGATATATATTTATGTACTTATGTTAGAACTATATAATATATATTCATGTACTTTTGTTGGATAATAGTGAGCAGACTGTATGATGTATATCCATGTACTTATGTTCAATAATAGTGAGCAGACTGTATGATATATATTCATGTGCTTATGTTGGATAATAGTGAACAGCGTATACAGATATATATATATATATATATATATATAAAATTTATACCGAGTAGTAAGAAGGCGCTATGCTTGTGCTATTTTACGCTATTCCGTCGCATGATATTCAGATGAAGAATATTATCTGTATATACTGAGGCGTACCAACGTGTTTAGACAACAAACCCGCGTCTCTGTTTCTCGTTTAGCTCGTAATTCATTAATTTTTATATTAATTAAGGTCAACAAAAATAAATGTACACTTCTCATTACCTAAACTAATTCATACCTTAAATGACATGCACTAATTAAATACCGAACTAATGTATACATGAATTAATGTGTTTTCAGAGATGCATGAGCTAGACAATCACTCACGCATCTAAGTTTCGGTACGGTCCCATCAGCGCATTAGATTATCACATTGGCCATGTAGTGGGCATGGCTCAAAAGGGTACGGGTATTCCCTTAACACGACATTGCTACGCTAGAGAACAAACAAACCCCGGTGGAGCACCACACATATTTGGTCCTAACTATTCCTGTGGTTGGCCTATTCTAATGCGTGCACCTGCCCTCCTCTGATAGGACCGGCAAACAAGTTCACATACTCGCCCTTGGTGGAGTCGCGCAGAGTCATTTGAATGTGCTGTATCTGCTGAGACACAGCCGACAGAATGCGCTCCTCCAGTCGATTGAACTCGTCAAAGCAGCCCCACGCACCCACCTGTACAGGCACCAGCAGAGCCAAGTGGTTAGCAAGGGGACAAAAATACAATAGAGCATGTAAGCAGCACCACTCATCATTA